ACTTACCTCCGCTCAGTACCACTCTTAACAACACTCGCTGCTGGTGACCCGCTTATTTTGTATCTGGCAGTTTTCGATAGGGCTGTCAACGCCGTACTGATAAAAGAGGAGCTGGGAGAACAGTGGCCGGTATATTATGTGAGCAAGGCAATGGTCGACGCCGAAACACGCTACCTTCCGCTGGAAAAACTCATCCTAGCCCTAGTCATGGCAGCAAGAAAACTGATGCACTATTTCCAGGGACATAGCATTGGGGTGCTAACAGATTATCCCCTCCGATTAGTACTACGGAGTGCACAAGCATCAGGACGTGTTTCAAAGTGGGCTCTTGAACTTAGCTAGTACGACATTCAGTTTTTTGCCTAGAGCCTCAATCAAAGGACAGGTGCTTGCCGACTTTGTCGCCGAATTCACTGGGGGTCTTGCCAACTTCAAACCTGATGAAGTTCGACCAAAGCCGAACTGGAGAATTTATGTTGGGGACATTTGACAACTATATTGTGATAGATCGTCCAACCAGCGGGGCAGCGGTGCCGGAGTTGTAATCATGTCTCCTGACGGCGCAACAATAGAGCAGGTCGTCAAGCTCGGCTTCGAAGCATCAAATAACGAAGCCGAATACGAAGCTCTTCTAGCCGGCTTGCGGAATGCGCATCTTCTCGGTGCTCGGCGTTTCATTGTGTTTTGTGACTCAAAATTGGTAATTAATCAACTAAAGGGGGAGTACGCGGCAAGAAATGACCGTATGGCGCCTACATGAAAACGACCAACTCCTTACTGGCAAAATTTGACCACCACGAACTGAACCAAATAACACGTGACCAGAACACACACGCAGATGCTTTGGCTTGCCTAGCCTCCGCCATCAACTCAGAGATCAAACGGACCATCGAAGTAGGTTTCATCCCAGAGCCGAGTATTGGCCTTTCGGAGGACATCCTGGTCAACGTTATAGAATCTGCACCGAGCTAGATGGACCCCATTGCTGCATTCTTCTCCTCTAAACAACTCGTAGAAAAGAAAAAATAAACGCACAAGCTGCGAAACAAAGCCCTGCGATACTACTTGGATCTACAAGGAGGGCTTTATAAAAAATCCCTCTCTGGTCCATATTTGGAATGCGTACACCTGGACAAAGTCGAGGAGCTTCTCACTGAGATACATGAGGGCATTTATGGTGCCCATTCGCGCGGACGCTCTTTGACCCATCGAGCTATAACATATCTACCTGCTGAAGAGCTGAGCTCTATCACTAGTCCCTGGCCATTTGCTCAGTGGGGACTTGATATCGTAGGACCATTGCCGAGGGCCCCAGGGAACAAGCGATACTTGATTGTCGCGACAGACTACTTCACGAAATGGGTCGAAGCGGAGGCATTAACACATATACGAGATACCGATGTTAAACGCTTTGTATGGAGAAACATCATAACACGATTTGGCATTCCAAGAGCTCTTATCTTAGATAATGACACCCAGTTTGATTGTGGCGTCTACCGAGAGCTATGCAGCAAATATGGTATTCGGCCTTACTTTTCTATGCCGGCTTGTCTCCAGAGCAATGGTCAAGCCGAAGTCTCTAACAAATTCATTTTGGACAGCATCAAGAAGAGGCTGGAGAAAGCTAAAGGCAAATGGGTCGAAGAATTACCGAGTGTATTGTGGGCTCATCGTACTACACCAAGGAGATCCACTGGAGAAACGCCATTTGTGTTATGCTTCAGAACCCAGGCGATTTTACCCCTGGAGATCGGGCACCCAACCCTGAAATCGCAAGTTTTTGATATGGGCCGAAATGACATGATGCTTGCTTTGGACTTGGTCCTAATCGAAGAGCGAAGAGACCGTGCCCTTGCGTCCATGGCACGGTACCAGCAGCAGCTCGCTAAGTCATATAACCAACGTGTTTAGCTGTGTCGCTACACGCCAAGAGAGTTGGTCCTGAAGAAAGTACTTCCAACCAACAAGAGACCGGCCGACGGAAAATTGGGTCCAAACTGGGACGGCCCCTATCAGATAGATATCATCGCAGGAACAGAGGCATATCGGCTCTCAGACATGTCAGGAAGGAGCTTGCTACGGCCTTGGAATTCAACGCACTTACGTAAATTCTATCATTGACCCGACTTGTTGGCTTGATACTTGTGCATATGTCACTACTGCAATGCAAAGATTCTTATTTCTTCATCATGCAATTCAGTTCAAGCCCTTTTGGGCTGATTAAAGCCTTCGGACTCGGAGCGCCCTTCGTGGAAACACGATTGGCCGAATTAAAGCCTCCGGATTCGGAGTGCCCTTCATAGATATCACGATTGGCCCATACAAGTCTTCGGATTCGGAGCACCCTTCGTAAATATCACGATTGGCCGATTAAAGTCTCCGGATTCAGAGCGCCCTTCGTAGAAACACGATTGGCCGAATTAAAGCCTCCGGATTCGGAGCGTTCTTCGTGGATATCACGATTGGCCTATACAAGTCTTCGGATTCGGAGTGCCCTTCGTGGAAACACGATTGGCCGAATTAAAGCCTTCAGATTCGGAGCGCCCTTCGTGGATATCACGATTGGCCCATACAAGTCTCTAGATTCGAAGCGCCTTTTGTAAATATCGCGATTGGCCGATTAAAGTCTCCGGATTCGGAACGCCCTTCGTGGAAACACGATTGACCGAATTAAAGCCTCCGGATTCGGAGCACCCTTCGTGGATATCACGATTGGCCCATACAAATCTCTGGATTCAGAGCGCCCTTCGTAAATATCACGATTGGCCGATTAAAGTCTCCAGATTCGGAGTGCCCTTCGTGGAAACAAGATTGGCCGAATTAAAGCCTCCAGATTCAGAGTGCCCTTTGTGGATATCACGATTGGCCCATACAAGTCTCCGGATTCGAAGCGCCCTTCGTAAATATCACGATTGGCCGATTAAAGTCTTTGGATTCGGAGCGCCCTTCGTGGAAACACGATTGGCCGAATTAAAGCCTCCGGATTCAGAGCGCCCTTCGTGGATATCACGATTGGCCCATACAAGTCTTCGGATTCGGAGCGCCCTTCGTAAATATCACGATTGACCGACTAAAGTCTCCGGATTCAGAGCGCCCTTCGTAGAAACACGATTGGCTGAATTAAAGCCTCCGGATTCGGAGTGCCCTTCGTGGATATCGTGATTGGCCTATACAAATCTCTGAATTCGGAGCGCCCTTCGTAAATATCACGATTGGCCGATTAAAGTCTCCGGATTCGGAGCACCCTTCGTGGAAACATGATTGGCCGAATAAGACTCTGGAATCGGCCCTCAAGCTCTGTTTTTCTGAAAAAGCCCTTTTCCTCACTTTTTCTCTCAGCGCACATCTCTCTATTATTCAATCTCTCATTTTTTTATCCCTCCCCTAAGTGGTTGATGGATAAACAGAAAGTTGCGGGCTCTTGCCCTTAGTATTCCGCTAGGTTCTTCTTCTTGTTCACAACAGTGAGTTTCTTCCACAGAGGGGCTGCGCTACAACTGGGTGTGTAGCAAATTTGCAGCTGACATCAGTTGACGATGCTCTGCTGGGGAGTTTGGACGTGATCAGATCTGTCCAGATGAGGGAGTGGAATATCTTGATCCATTCCAGCTCGTGCTTCGCACTTGGCTTGATACCTCGTTGCTTGGAGGATGTGAGAGCTTTCTGTCATTTTGCGGTCAGCTTCAGTGGTGCCCTTTTCTGGCAAGTAAAGCACCCTTTCTGGCAAGTAGAGTGCCTTTTTCTAGCAAGTATGTTGACAATGGGGGAAAGACAGAACACCTGACTCAACTGTGCCCCTAGTTCATCATTTTGACCATTTTTTGTTTTTGGCTTCTGTTAAAACAATTTTAACCAAAATGAGAGTTAGATTAACACACTTATTCAACTTTTTGATTTTGAAAATCATGCAAGTTAGGTCATGAGCACTGAAAATTTTCCTTTTTTGTGTCCAAGAAATGGTCCAGTTTTGAAAAATGGAATACTTTTCGAGAAAATTAGTCAACCTCAGTAAAAATTCTCAAAAACTGCTTTTGCAAATGGCCACTACTCAACGAGCACGGAACCTATTCTTGAGATGCACAACCTTAGATCCATAACAATGAAAAATTGCCCCTTGTTTGAACGGCACTGTATGGCAATGGAAAATTGCCCCTTTGTTTGAATAGCACCGCAGCACACTATATGGCAACGGAAAGTTGCCCCTTGTTTAGATAGCGTCGCAGCACACTGTAATAAGTCCTCACAGTGACAATTACAACCAAATTCTTAGATACAGAGACACAACAACAAGTTGGGTCTTGAATGACGAAATTTTTTTGTCTCGAAAGAGCTAATTTCGTCACTATAGATATTTGTGACGAAATATTTTCATCACCAGCTTCGTCATTGAAGGTTTGTCACTAAAAACCACCATGACGAAAAATAATTTTGTCACTAATGACATTAGTTCAGTGACGAAATTTTTTGTCACCAATAAAATAAGATTTTGTTGCCAAAAATTCTCATTTTCGTTACCAAATAATTATTCAATACCATATTTATAATTTTAGTTGACGAATAAATTTGTCACAAATGTTGATCATTGATGAGGAAATAATTTCGTCACAGTAAGATATAAAAGTGACAAAATTTTTCGTCTCCAAAAGTCATACATGGGTGACGAAATATACTTCATCACAAATATATTTATATACGTGACGAAAAATATTTCATCACCAAACAACAAAATCAATGAAAAATTCCATATATGCGCTACAATAAATTTTGTCACAAAAAATGTTTATTAATGATGAATAAGCACTTTGTCATAATAACAAGTACAAATGACGAAACAAATTCGTCACTAAACCTGTTCCATATTTTATATTTCAATTTCAATTATTATTTCACAAATATCCCTGCTCATATCCCAATAGTCTTTTAATTGTACTAAGAAATCACTAGCTATTATACATCACTCTACAAAAAAAATCAATAAACAATTTATATTATAAATCAAAATATATCCATCAAACAACTTTAATAATATAAACCATTAAGTATAACAAAAAAACCACCAAAGCAAATCCCAAAATGAACTAACGTGGAATCCACACAAAAAAAATCAACACTCAATCTTAATTTACAACTACAACTAAGTATCAGTTCAGGAAACAAAATTCAACAGTTGATCTTCATTTGCACGTATACTTTCAAATGTCATCAAAAACCAATCTGCAAAGAAAATAGACAAAGAAAACATTAATATATTATCAATTACATCTAAACTCATATATAAATAATTTTATTTTATAAACCAATTTAGTAGAAATGCATCTAACAAATCAGAACTTCAAAGAGTTGAGGTGATCCTTGATGATAAACTTACACGGATAACATAAGATGCCAAAAGATTACAAGAATACCATATATCACTATCACTAGTGGCAGAATATATTGCATGATATGGCACCTACATCGCATATTTCTTCATATACTAGTTGGACCCCCACGCGCGTAGCGCGTGGGGGTCGTATTATCGTTGACACAAATAATATAACAAGGCAATGATACAATATTTTCTTCAAAAAAATAACATCAAAAACACAATATTTCTTATTTTATATCCTATTAATCATAATTACATCTTACATTTCATAAAATTATAAACCGGTAAACAAAATGGCCCCTTGTTATCTTAAATTGAAACTACGTGGGCTAGCTAGTTGGAAGAATTGCTTTTTGTCGTCTCTCTTGTCCTTCTCTCTAGCACCAACGTTGCCACTCCTTCCAAAGTTGGAGCTGAAAACAAATTCACCTAAGAGTTTTCCTACGAAATTAATTAAAAAATAATAGTAGCAATTTGCTGGGTACATAACATAAATATTGCATTCATTGCTTTTATGAGTATGCGCTTGAGGACATACAAATAAAATAAGAACCACTCAAATTATCACTGAAAATGAAGAGTCAAAAGTAGACATGGATAATGCCATTACCTCAAGTCAAATAGAGTAATCATGATATATTGCTCCTTCCATGGGGATGATTACTCTTTAGAAGCAGAGAATAGCAACATCCTGAGAAGTATATTCACAATCAAGCAATCAAAATATATCATCCATTCATGTAGTTCAAATATCATAGTAGATGAATGAATAGAAGGCAATAAAGACTTACCATTACATATAATATTTCTTTACTCATGAACAAGAGACAACATAACCATGTTCTATAGTCCACTAAGTCCACTATTTGTTTAGTCTCAGCTGCAAAACAAAACACTGAACAATAGAACAAAAGCCTCTTCGGTGGGTATGATTTAAATAAATGGTTCAAATCACATATATCAAGGGAGAACACCTTAGGAGTAATCCCTCGTGATGCCAGTTGTGATGTGACAGACAGATCCTGTTGACCAACCTAATAATCCCATCAATTACTCAACCCCATCAATTACTCTATCCCTCTTGGTTAAGTCCCCAGATTGATAGGGGCTACACCTGTTTCCAAAACACCCATCCAATACATTTAAGTTGCAAACCCATAAAACTTAAAACGAGCATTAACATGTGATACATGCATACAGCAACCACAATAGAATGGAAACCTGAAATTTGGCCAGGTTGGATTAGTTAGCCATTGATAGAACATGTTTTTTCACTTAATGCCATCCAAGTACATGATTGGTTTGGCCAGGTTGGATTAGTTAGCCACTGCCACATTTGCTTACAGTTTTTTTTGTACATGAAGAAATGGTATAGTTAAGCAAATAATGGTAACTATGTGTTTTCATGAATGTATTAACATAGTTAGGCTTCTGTTGTGACTCTCCTGACTATCTACTCTCTTAATCTATTGATCATTTTCAATCCCACACGAAAATACACCGTCATTAGAATGAACATTTGTGAACAGTGTGGACATAATTTGAAAATGAATAGCTCAGATGAAAAAACTCATATAAGTAACAAATCTCAAATATCTTTGATTACGAGACATATAATTATCACTCTAAATAAGAACCATAATTCCAACAGTATAACATTAATAACTTACCCAAAAATAGCTGGAGCAGAAGAGTTATAGACTAAAGAAGCCCCCATATTTGTGTAAAAATTTTACATACAACAAATCAGTTCAATAATAACCAGATGTCCCGTTTCCATCTCCATACTGAAATGAATCATCACACTGATTACTCTGTGAAGAGCATTCAGCAGCTGCAGCTTGAACTATAGAAGCACATATTGGGTTAGAGCAAGAAACCAGAGATGCAGTTGACGAACTGGCAGTGTCAAAGAAATCGAGCTCAATCTGTACAATATGTACTTCAACATAGGCCTTATATGCTAGATACACATTTCTATTGCCTTACAATTACCAGACCTCAAACTCAAAGGCCATGAAACCTGGAGGAAAGGTTTTTTTAACCTAAAGTATACCAACACAAGAATATGGCTTGAACTCAACTAGTGGCCAGCAACCACAACCATATCACACAAGGCATCAAGCATACCATCTCACATCAATCATTCTTTTTAATAATAAATTACAAATGCTTGCTAATCAGGTCCATCAAACCCTCATGATATGTTTGATTATTCACTATTCACACTTTCAAATCTCCATTTCAATAGGATAGTTATTATTGTTGGAGAGAAGAAACTTAAGAATGTGGGCATCAACGTGTAGACAAATACATTAAACATTAAAAATTATGTCATTTCTTATGTTCCAGGAAGTTCAAATGACAACAAAGGAATAAATCCCACAGAATTTTCGTTATGTACCTAGTGCATGGAATAAAAAGAATCAATATATACCTAAAATATTTGTATTTACAACGGAATACACCGTCGTGGGTTTTTTGCCCTTTTTTCCTTCTTGGTGAAATACAATCCAACACAAAAGTAAGGAAAAATTACCATCCAAAACATTGAATTGATAGGACCTATGCTGCAAACATATCATTTTCATAGGATTTGTAAAAAAGTAATAATTAAAAGGAAAAACACACAATTGAATGGAAGTGAGAGCAAAGAAAGAGTAAGTTATGAGTTGAATCTCAAATAACCATCAATACCAAATCCTGGTGTTACTGTTAATTGTACCTGGGTTTGACACACACTATGTTATCAACTCAGAAAGTCCTTAATTTTACCAAATATTACCAAAAATGTTCTTAGGTCATAATAAATGCGGTTATGAGTTCATAGAAACATTAAATCAATCATTTAGTGCAAACAACCCATATCAAAATCAAGCTAAACATTGATATAAAACTAAAAACAACCCAAATCAAAGATCTAACAAAACATAACACACCAATTCCCAATTCAAATGAATTGATTGAGCTCGGATACCAAAACAGAGAGGGAGAAACACAGAATAAAAGAGAGATTAGAGTCAATGAACACTCACCTGAACCCACTTGTTTGACTCTTATGGACATATTGTCAAACATATGGTGTACAAAATTTGTGAATGCAATAACAAACACCAAGACAATACACAAACATAAAAATCCAATATCAAAATCTCTACATAAAAAAGAAAAAAGAAAAAAATTGCAAACCAGAAAATTACATACTCTGGTTTGAGAGCTAATATCACATAAAATATATATGGTTTTATATAATCGGTCACCAACTCACCACCACAGAAAGCTCTGTTGCCAGATTACATGGAAGTCATCAATTGGATAATAATTTGACACACTGTGCAGATTTCTTTTCCAGCACATAGGATTGTGGATAATCAGAAGCCCTGCATCTCAAGAGAAAATAGTAAAAAAAAAATGTAAAATTATTGGTGACGAAAATATATTCCTCACTAAAAATTTTATAATTGGTGACAAAAAAATTTCTCATCAAAAGTCTTAAAATTTTGGCGCCACCAAAAAAATTTAGCGGGAAAACCTTCGATGACGAAATTTAATTTTTCCTCACCTAAAAAGAAATATTTATTGACGAAAATAAATTTCGTCACTAATTATTTTTATTTTTTATTATATGTGACAAAAATTTATAATTCGTCATGAATTACTCTTATTTAGTGACGAAATTTATTTTTTTCATTACTTTTCGTCACCATAGGTTACTTTTGTTGTGTAAAATTGTTGACGATAAAAATATATTTCTCATTAAATAATTTTAAAATATTTAAAATTAATTTCTTTTAAAAAATATTTAAAATTATTTGTAATGAAAATATATTTTTTACTGATAATTTTATAATTGGTGACAAATTTTTTTCTTATTAAAAATCTCAAAATTTTGGCGTCACCCAAAAAAAATTAGATGGAAAATATTTGGTGACGAAATTTAATTTTTCTTCACCTAAAAATAAGTATTTATTAACGAAAATAAATTTCGTCACCTATTATTTTTACTTTTTATTATATGGGACAAAATTTATAATTCGTCACGGATTATTCTTATTTAGTGACGAAATATTTTTTTCACTACTTTTCGTCACCATAAGTTTAGAGAGTTAATTAACTTGTGTTTTTGTTTTGAGAGAGAGAGAGAGGGGAGAGAAAAATTGATAAACAAAAATAAAGGAGGAAAAAAGTTAGTAGTTTTTTTTTTCCATTACCGCCCAATATGTTAAAATTTTTCCTCTAAAATTGGTGACAATATAATTTTCTCACTAAAATGTCTCAAAATATTAAAAATTATTAGTGATAAAAATATATTTCTCACCAAATGGTCTTAAAACATTTAAAATCAAGTTTCTCAAAAAAAATATATACAAAATTATTGGTGACGAAAATGTATTCCTCGCTAAAAATTTTATAATTTGTGACAAATTTTTTTCTCACCAAAAGTCTAAATTTTTGGCGCCACTCAAAAAATATTAGCGGGAAAACCTTCGGTGACGAAATTTAATTTTTTCTTACCTAAAAAGAAGTATTTGTTGACAAAAATAAATTTCGTCACCTATTATTTTTATTTTTTTATTATACGTGACAAAATTTTATAATTCGTCACGGATTATTCTTATTCAGTGACAAAATTTATTTTCTTCACTACTTTTCGTCACCATAGATTACTTTTGTTGTAGTGAGAAGACAAAGATGACCCGAACCATCACATGGACACAGTTGATTTGGAAATGTTTATGGCTGGACTTCAGAACGAAGTTGCCTACGTATCCCAAACATGGGAATCAAGCCTTACGTAGTTTGGGGTTAAGGTACACTCGGGTATTAACCTCTCCTTTTGCGCTCTAACTTTTGCCAAGGCCGCCCTTCCGAGTTTTCAACCTTGCGAGCTATGTTTTTCTTTTCTTTTCAATTCTTTTCTTCTTTTTTCTTTTTCATCTTTTCTTTTCATTTTCTTCATTTTTCTTCTTTTTTTTTTTTCATTCTTTGCATTTTTCTTTTTTTTTTGGTTCTTTTTCTTGCTCCAACTTTTGCCTGGGTCGCCCTTTCGGGTTTTCGGCCCAGCGAGCCTCTCAAGGGTAAAAGTGTAGCTTTGTCCATGTCAAATGGTTTTGAGATCCTGAAGTCGTCTGAATCCAGGAGAATGGCTGCTGTTCATTGACGATGCAGGAGTCCATCCAATGGGGGGCTGAATTTGCCCCTAGTGTTGTGGATAGGAAATCAGTTGTCCTTCAGCAATACTTTCTTCTTTCTTCCCTTCTGGGATTTGGCATTCTTGCCGATCTTCATTAGCTTGAGAAATGACTCATCTTTCGCTCTTCGAGCACGTTTGAAATTCTTTGCCCCTAGTTTCAGGGGTGCTTCTGATCTAGCTTTGCAAGCTTCTTTTGATGACATCCGATCTTCTTGATCTGACCTTGTCGCCGCTAATTCATGAGCTGTTTCAAATCTAGCCACACAGGCCTCACATTGTGGTTGACCATTGATCACTCTGAATCTAAGTTCGAGGTTTGAAAGCAAATGGGTCGAGTCTTGAGGCTGAGACCGATCCTAGGCTGCACAATCTCAAGAGTGATTCCACACAGGTCTTCGCAGGACGGCGCAAAACATTTTTTGAAATCTTTTAAGAAAGTGACAAATTGCTCGCGCTGAAGATAGTGTAGAACCAATCTGGCTCAAGCCAGGATCCTTCTCAGTACTCACATTAACAAACATGAGCTCATTCATTAAGGGCTTAGCACGCCTCTCTTTCTCTCAATTGATCAAATTTTTTTGCAAATCCCGAGAAATTCCTTCCTCTTTGTTTTCATCACAATGTTCAAAAAGTTTTGAAAAACTCAGGTCAATGCAATGAGTTCGAGGCATAGAAAAGTAGGCGAAAAGTACTTCCGTTTCATTCAAACTTTCTGGCACAACTGGCACAAGGTAGAAGTAAGCATGAAAAACCACTGCTGTTCTCATTCAGATCTGTTGGTGTAACTGACTCCAGGCAGAAACAGACTCAAAAGAAAACGAAAAGACAAAAGCAAAACAAAATGGTAATGCCCGAGGTAACACCCCCGGAATCATCCGACCTTTGTACAACAGGACTGACTCGATACAAGAAGATAGACTCTTAATCAAAAAGACTAACTCAAGACAATGAGTCAGACTCAAAACAAAACCATAGAATTGACTCAACACCCAAGTCA